AAATTTTCAGGTAAAAATTTTTCTATAAAGATAACGTTTTTTATTGCTTATAGCCACGAACAAACAATTAAGATTAAAAAAAAAAAATTTACTTTTTCGTTACATATAATTAACACTGTTACCTATTTATGCTAATTTACGAAGTACAATGTTTGTATTTTATTAGGTATACTTGGTTGTACATATTTTTATTTTATTTTAGGTAGGTACCTACAACAATGATTCCGTTAAAAGCGCATTTGCTCTTTTAATAATAATTAGGTAATACATGTATTAATAAGTATATAATAATTAATATAATACAATAATGCTAATGAGATAAAGTTAATTTTAGTATTTTTTTTATTCATGTATTACAATAATATAAAGTAAATGTTTAAAATATAATAAGTAAAATATACAGATACTTGTTGATTTCATACACTAGCATTATTATTTGAAGTATTACTTTCCAATTTTATAACATTTTGTTGCATACTATAGGTTCACCTAGTGTTCTTGAATAGTTTGTTTCTTATAAGTTATTATAAAAATATTTAAAAACAATTATTAATGTAATATATTATCTATTGATATAGGTAGCATATTGCTAAGTATAATATACGTAATGAGTTAGTTACATTTTATAATGGCTTATATTATAAATCAACATTAGGTGTCTTTTATTATTGTTAATTTTAATATTAAAAATTAGTTAGTTTTTACTAATTTAAATATTATTATATAAGGAATATATTTATAATCATATACGTGTATATATATTCACATTTTGTACGTAATTATTGTTTAAGCCTGTTGGTTTTGATTTCACATTGATTTACTTTTTATGTTTTTTTTTGTCCAATACGATTTCTACAATCCCAAGCTATTTTATATTATACCTGTATCCATTATAATTCTAGTTGCCATGGTTACATTGTAAAGCGTTTTAATTTTATAAAGTTGATAATATTTTTGGTCTAAAATATACTTTTAATTAATGTTAATATAGTTCTATCCCCATGCTTCGATACTAAATATTTCAAATTTCTCATTTTATAACAAACTCCATAAAGCTTCAGATATACAGCGTCTGTATTGAATTGTATTAGTTAATATATTAATAATTATTGGATACCTACTTAAATTCTATTTTAGTCTTATAAATATCCTATAGATATCAGGAAGTGGTGCTCTTCATCCAGAAATTGATAAAAATATAAAATGTATTTGAAATGTTTATAAATCATTTAGATTATAATTTAAAATATTTTTAAACATTCAATTAGTAAAATGAACCGATAATTAAAAAAATTACTATCTGGTAAATATATTTAATATTTTTCTAGTCAATTTAGTATATTTGGTACAAGCTAGTTAATGTTATATTGTAGGTACTTAGTCATTTTTGGTAAAAAATATTTCATTCAGTTTACAAAAACCAAGTAATTTAGAAAATGTATTAATGTAGGTGAAAATGTATTACATAACTAATTAATTAATTGTAATTGATGAATTGAAATTGTTTTTAAAAATGTATGTCATTGTTATATTCATAATTTATTCGGAATTCATATATTCTAATGATGAATACTTATAAAGTATAATTTGAGTTTTAAAAATTAATAACTGATCATAAAACTAAAAGGTTTGCTATTAATTGTGTTAGCAAGTAACTATTACAGGTGCTTTTATGTATCTGGGGAGTATCAATTTATTTATTCTTTGTTTCATATTTAGAATGTATGCTTTTATTGTATATTTGTATTCAAAATCATCGTATTATTTACTAAAATGTGTAACACGAAAATAGTACTTACAAAAGTACAATAATAATTGAGTCCTGTTAATATAAATTAATGGTGACTCGAAACCATTATTGTTTAAATATCCTTACAAGTATACAAGTTAAATTGAATGGTATTTAATTAGCATGGTAAACATGCAATGTTTGTTATAGTTAAATATATAAATTGTGTAACTTTATAGTTTTTGACATTTGTATTATAACAGATATCGTAATTATTAAGTTTTAATACAGTATTGTTATATATCTATATGTGATTAATTTTTGTTCTTTGAAAACCTCTCTGCGAATAGGTCCATACTATCAACTTTGGGTTCAAGTATTTCAGTCATATTTTATTATACGTCAAGAATGCGTGTTGTGTTCTCACATATTACTGTATTTTATAATATTAAACATATTATATTTATATTGGAAAAATATGTTATAAGTGCGTAATAATAATATTGTTATATATAGTGAGTTATACCAATAATATTTAGCCGTGACGTATTTAGGAATTTTATATGGAGGAGATTAGAGGAAAGAGGCTGAATGCTTAATAACAAAAAGTATACTTCATAATACATTGAACGCTAAAAAATATTAATTTTTTTAATGATGTGTATCATGAATTTTGGTAACATTATATAAAATTAATAAATAAGGTGTGGATAATAAAATATAAAATATTCAAATAGTTAGTTAAGGCAGGCCCATAGCCAGACTAAATTATCAGGTGGGGGAAATCAAATTTTAGAGGGAACATAAGAAAAAAATAATATAGTGCATAACTTATCACTACATAGCACATATGCACATTTAATATTTGTTTGAGAGGTAATGCTTACTTCTCCCTCTCCAGTGGATATGGGTCCGAGATAAAACAATCTATAACATGTTGAAAAAGTATGAGCCTTCCATACTATTCATCGGTAGAAATAGTTAATGAGTGCATTTAAGGTACTTTAGAACAGTGTGTTTTTTAGAAGTTTGACCGGGAGAGGGGGGAATAATTCCTCCATCGAAGAAAAAGGTATATCCCCTCAAAAAACGTATTTATTTATTAATTGTTTCTATCGCATATCACATACCCAGGGATGGATTGGCCTATCGGAAAATCGGGAATCTTCCCGATGGGCTGGTCCTTGTTTGGACCGCTCTATATTATTATATAATTCCCAAAAAAAAGTTTTATTTATTTTATAAATAAATATATATTTAAAGATGCATTAAGATCAAACTTCAAGTTCAAGTTGGAACTGATTAATCATGTAACTTACCCAAAACTATTATAGCTATAATTATAGTAAAGTTATTGTAGATTTTACTAATTTAGGGATGAAACTAAACAAATTTTGAAATTTATGCAAAATAAAGCATTTTTTCGGGAGGGGGGAGGGCTAAAATAGTTTGATTTGCGATTCATGAGCCGGTTTATTTCATATTTCCTGGGCCGAAAATAATTGCCAATTCGCCCCTGCACATACCCCTTTGACAATTAACGATATCCCTCGGGATTGAAGATCTGAAATAAACACTGCTTTAGAGGTAGCATTAATTAAAGAAAAAATGAGAAAGAATTGATTGTATGTTTCGGGCATAATATGAAGAAAAGTGAAGCGGAGGTAGTGAATGATGTTATGTTATACGAGTATATGGATGATCAAGGAAGAGAATATTGAATACAATTGAGGGTGATTTTATGAAGGTAGATGATGTGAGTAAATTGTTGGTGAAGTGTCGGACATATGGTGGACGAAGACGGAAGTTGATCGATCCCATGTAGTTGAAAGACGTAATCAAAGAAAAAAAAAACATTTTGATAATAAGTTATGTGCTAACAAAGTAATAACATTTTTTTAAATTATATTGATATTTTAATATTAACAATATTTGATTATTAAATTGGGGTTGGGGGATAAGTAAGTCGCCCATCCCTCTTGGGCTCTGTTTTTATTTTAGTTTATGTAAATTTAAAATTATTCATTTTTATGGATCAGTTGAGTTTAATAAATAGTTTTGTGTGATTAACAAATTCATGAGTATATGTTTATATGTATTCATTTTACATATATGCGTAATTAAAAAAGCGTTTTTTTTATTATTATATGCGCAACTGTGTAATATTTTTAACTAGAATAAAATCAGAAATTAAATTCCTAACTTCTTACGAGCTTCAATCCCCCCCCCCCACTTCTAGCCATCAAGAATAAATTCTGCTATAGAGTTCATTATACTTTTAGTGTGATAATAAATGTATTTATGTTGTGTGCTCTAGACAGACAAGCGCATGCAATTTTTGCTTAATGGGTTTGGGTGGAGTAAGTATATACAGTTTAAATGCTATAATAAAAAAAGATAAATATGTATAATATACACGTAATATTGTATTGACGAAATCACGTGAGGACTAAACTCTTAGATATCTGCATGGTTATATCATAATTTATAATGTATAACATATTATGTTGATAGTACATACAGAGTATGCCGCTAGGACTTAATAATTTTATATGGTTGAATAGAGTTTTTATTACTCGCCTACCATTTTTGAATAGTACATACTCGTGCGGGACACCCTGTATACGTAGATTCATACGTAGCAAATTTAATACACATGTATAATAATAAAACAAATTATACTTACGCTTATGTGTATATGTATGTATGTATAATTATCATACATTTATATTGTATGATATCACAAAATTGGCGGTGACGGTAGCAAACACGCTCTCCGTAGGTGGGCGGTGCGTGGCGGTAGGAGATGGCCCGTGACGTCACCGTTGACGTTCAGCTTTGCTCGCCCGCGATCCTCCTAAAACTGCTTTCGGTTTCCAATGTCTCTCGACTCGCAGTGCCATTCCTGAGCTCAGACAACTCGATCCGTCCGGTACGTGCGCGAATTCTTATCTATAATTTGTGCAAAGTATAGACGATGTAATTTTTTAATAATTTATTTTCTTTTGCAACGTTTTTTCCCGTTGATAAGAAAACTCGAAGATCACTGCGATCAAATATTTGTTATTGTATTGTTGTTATTATGGGAGTGTTGATTTTAAACGTTGACTCCTGGGTGGCACCACCGAAAAAAAAGTGGATTAAACATTATCTCCTGGGTACATAGTTATTGATATACTATGTTCACATGTTACTTAGCCGATAATTAATTTTTTACTACACAACAATATCCAAGTATTTACTAACATTTTTTGTTTTTTTTTCTTTTCAGAAGAACCATTGTCGAATAGCGATGCTGGTTATCATCCATCCTCGGTAACATTACCTAGCTCCGATCTACCGAGGTCGTTAAACCATATCGAACCGCCATCCACGCCACCAAGTCAACAGCAGCTTCAGCAAGCCACCTCTGTCTTATTACAGCAACAACCTCAACCACAAACACAAGCACAACAGCAGCAGCAACACCACCACCACCACCAACAACAACAACAGCCTCAAACACAACATCTTCACCACGTATATAAACCTACAGTCACAACCGTTGTAACCACTAACAATAGTAACGCTGTTGCCATTGTTAACAATCACGACGAAAATGTTGTCGCGTTGTCTTTGGCTCAAGAACTTAAAAGACGCACCGGGTAAGTGATTTTATCGTTTTTTTTTTTTTTTTTAGTCTATATATAATATCGCATTTCTCGAATATCCAAATATAGTTGTTTCAATTTAGTTAAATATATATATTTCTTCGAATTCTGTTGTGTACTCTGTGTATTTCGTATATACGTTTTTAAAATTTATTATATTAACTTTACTCTTATTTAAGTGGAAAATACAAACCATCCATAAGGTTGTAATTGGGAAGTTTTAAACTTTCAGAATTTTATTGTATGTTTATAATTTTGTGATGATTATGATATTAATTAAAAATAAAATATATAATTTTAATTTTTTTTTTTCGTAAAAAATGTAATAATTAAGGAATTTGCGTTTAGCATTGTACATTAAAATAAATGTTATGTTGTAGGAAAATTAGAGACGGAAATATATTTTTTTAAAAATTTTCCATTCAATACTAAACATATACCATGAGTTTTTGATTTAATGGTTAATGATGATGATTGTTTTAAACTGTAATTGAAATGTGAAATAAATATATTATGATGGATTTTCTAGTTAAAAATGACTATTCCTAAATTGTATGTCTAAATTGACTACCGATTTGACTACTGATACATGTTTACATAAATAAACTTAAGAGTACTGATAATTCCAGTCATCGTTATGTACAAATAATCATTTTTCAATTAATAAACTTGAATTTATGTTATATACCAATATAGTACAGTTCGTATATATTCATTTTTTAGTGGTAACGCATGTGTTTATATTAATTATCCGTTTTTATCTAAGTATTGAAGTTAAAAAATGTATGGAAGTATTGTTGTATAGAATAAGGTGTAATTTCAGATCTGGCACAAGAGAAGTGCATAATAAATTGGAGAAGAACCGCCGTGCGCATCTTAAGGAATGTTTCGAGCTGCTCAAGAAACAAGTACCCGCATCTCAAGACGAGAAAAAGACTTCGAACCTAAGTATACTCAGGAGCGCAATTCGGTATATTCAGGTAAGCCGATGTTCTAATAATATCTTTTACATTTGCATGTTCACAATTTGTGCATTGTTTGGTATTGTTATTATTATTTTGTTTTGTCTATATTTATTATAATGGAATACTAACTCTTGTATTATAAATATAGTTAAAAATATGCACGCATGCTTCCTCCGTACTGTATATATTGGCACACATTTATTGTTTGTACGGTCGTAGGAGGTCATTTACTAAATAAGCATACACCATCAACGGCCTCGTGAGTTTTTCTGACAGGATCACTAATATACATATACATCCTTATATACACACAAGCATACATATATATATATATATATAGAAAGACACAAACACATATATATTGCTAATCTCTCGAAAAAAATAATATTAATGAAACCCGGTGGAAATGCTCATTTGCTTTAAATATTGTTATTGCAGTGTTCCTATATTTTGTTTAGAAATTTCTAAAACAGAATACGTTTTTACCTTTATTTTGATTAATCTGGTCTCACGTTATACATAGGTAGGTTAGGTATCTACAGTTTACCGACGGCATTAATATATTTTTAAGTTATTTTTTTGTACATTTAATTCTCTGTGGGGGAATTGTTTTCGATTTTGGTAAAAATACAATGATTTGACAGGTTAGTAGTCACAACGCTTGAGGTCTCCTTTTATACTATTTATTGCCCCTGAATATTTACGGAGTTGTACTGTCATCTATAATGTTCTTCGATTTACACACGTGAGGTTAACCTCTCTTATGACCAAAAAAGTTGTCTTGCGTGTATTAAATGTCGTGTTCCTTGTAATAAATATAAGTTTTCCTTTTTTTTTTACGCTTGTATATAATAATATAGATATAATGAACATTCCTAACGGTTTTATTTAATTTTCAAGAATATATTTAATTTTTAATTTAATCTTCAATAGTGTTCAATACGAATGATGCACTTATTGGTAACGTTAAATTGATCTAATATATCTAATATTTTCATCTAATTATAATTTACTTTCTGAAAAATGTATTTAATTAATTTTTTATACAGCCATTGTTGACTTAAAATTGATAGTTTTAGCACAAATATTATTCTTGACCAGCTTTTATGTTTGTAGGTTAATTAAAACATAAGTTATTAATTGTTACTATACTGGTCTGAGGATAGGTTTTAGCGCTCAAAATAATAAACTGTAGTAACACAAACAAAATATATTATGTTATATTTTCTCGAAATCTAATGCAGCTAGTGACTCTGCCACTAATGTTTATATAATCAATATACGAGTAGAGTAATTTTTCTATTAGAGATTGGTTATAAAATTGTGTTAAAAATCTAACCCAACTGTAGCAGTTATCTATAATAAAAATGTTTGCATGTCTGTAGTTTATTATTTTTTCCACGTGTCATTTTCAAAGATCAAAATATAATAATATTTGGTAGGGGCATTTTTTTCACATCACAGTCCCACCGTAAGCTGCGCCCGCGCAGTGTCATTCGCTTGGTTCACTGTTCACACATGTGCATAACCATGACCTACAGGCGGTGGCGATGGATTTTTTACTCGCTCTGTATGTACGTATATAATGTCGCACACTTTTTATACGTACTTATTGCGCACTGTTATGTTACCTACGTTAAAAATTATATATTGATCGAGAATGAGGATTTTGAACTCGGATTACGTAAAAATAAATATAAAAATAATAAAAACAGTATTCTGTTAAAATTATTTTATTATCGACACATTATATACTTAGAAGAGGAAAATGTGTCTATATAAATGTTTGTGTATCAATGTGATAAATATTTATAAGTATTTGTGAGTGTACTATGTCTAAACAACAACTTTTTTTAAGTATTTATTAAGTATATGCAGCATACCTACATAACAATATTTTTTTTTACAAATATAAATCAATAGATGGTATATTAAAATTCGTTTAATTGCATTTCCAAACGAGTACACGTGAATTAAATATATCTTTGTTTTTTGAATGACAAAACAACTTTTTCATCGTTAAAATATTTTTGAAACAAAGGTTCGTTCATACGAAGTGAAAACAATTATGAGGTAAAAGATTAATCCCACTCTACGCACTAAGTGGTTTTCGACACGTAATTCGACTTTTTGATGTGTATAGGAAATAAGGAAAAGTAATTTTTATTATTTTATATATTTATTTAAATTGTCATAAATATATATTAATTTTTTTATAGATTTGATACTAACTCTCCATGTAATGTTGACTGTATAAAAACATTTGTATATGTATCAAAAAACGATATATTGAACTCTCTTCAACCGAAGATTTTTCTTGTTATTACGTATACTAAATATTTATTTATTTTTATTTATTTATGGTAAACGGGAAATAACACTTGTGTGAGCAATAGTAGGTTAACATTTTAAAGCATTTTACAGTAAGAACTAAAATTAAAACAATAATAATAAAAATCAATTACAGGATAACAACAATTAGGTAGACAACGATAAATGATAACAGTAACAAGAAACAACACTGAATATATTTAACATCACTTATTATTAGAAAAGTTTTTGATGTTACGGTGTTATAATAATTTTCTTAATGACAATGGATTATGATTGTATTTCATATTCTCATGCAGAATTTGTTTTTAAAACGTTGATGTACAAAAGTTGAATACCAAGCGATCCAGTAAAAAATTATTTACTAGCATTTAAAGTTCACTTTAAAATTATTAGCATTTGTAAATAATTTACTGATTCGATATTTGATTTATATTAATTAAAATATTCAAAAAAATATTTGGTTATAGAATAATATAAAATAATGTATTACCTTATAAAATAAGAGTTAATAAAATTATTACAATAAGATTGCAGTAAACATATTTATTTTTCGTAAAATCATATTAAAAAAAGACTTCATATTATGTAAAATATGTTTTTCCAAAACGTATTAACTAACCTAAAATAGTATTGAACCAATATTTAAAAAATCATTCTATATATATTTATATATATGTATTACTAACATATATATTTTAAAATTCTAACGCACAATATAATATTTATGACTATTTATAATCCATAAATGTCAGCAAAAAAAGTTTTTCTTTATACTGTGGAAGTATTTTAAATTCTAAAAAAACATAAGTAAATTTTGATTTCCGTTTTTACTATCATTATGTAAATAATTTTCGCGTTTTTACAATAATTGTAGATTAAAATAATTTATAATAAGTAGGTATATTATAAAATTATATACTGAAGTTTTTCGGCAATAGTCAACGTTGCGTAATTTTAATGATGTATTACTCATTACCGATTGTTCATATACATGTAAATACAGTTTATTAATCGGATTTTGTTTTTACATATTTTATAACTAGTATAATAATTTACTGTGAATGTTAAAGTTTACAATATACAATTAAATGCGTTACACGTTAAAAAAAATATAAATATACATCTAAGCTTGTTTTTTATGACATTAAATTAATTTTCTGTGCATAAGAATCATTTGTTGGTTGTAGACAAATATTTAATCGTTAATTTCATTTTAAAATTCATTATTTTCATTAACAAACGAAACGAATTTGAAAAAGGGTTTTTACAATTTTAGTTTGATTTTCGATTGGTTTTTTGGTAGCTTTTGGATAAATTAAATGTATAAGTGTAATAATTTATGAACGATTGTCTGATAGTTTCGGATGAGTTAAAAAATAGCATTTAACTCGTTTTGTGCACATGGACTAACGCGGTACATAAAAGTGTTCTAAGCAAGCCAATTGAATGTCAAGTATATAAGAGTATTGACGTTTGAATTAACGATGAATTTATACGCCGTAAACAAAAATCGATATGAATAGTATAGCTTTATAGTGAAGAATGTTTGGGATTCCGTCTTACCATTATTTCATATACGGTTTTACTATATATTAAAACTAATACAATATAATAACGTATTATGACAATCGTTAGTTTGGCTATCCAAATTGATCGTCAATATTTTACGAATTATACGAACAAGGACGTTATTCAGTTTTCAATTGGAAATTATTTATTTAAAACTACTAACTTATTTATCTTTCCCCCTGGAAATTTTTAAAATTTTTTCTGTACACCATTACTATACGCTTGAATTGTGAGATTCATTGGGTAAGAAATGTGCATCTCAATATTATTTTATCTATGTTGCGTGGACCAGTATCACTTAAAAAAATCAATAAAATAGGGATAGAAGAATACTAGTATAACTCTCCTATTTGCACCTATGATACAACGATTGCGCTCATGATTTCTTCCGTAGTGCTTAGCGAGTACTATAATTTAAGTACCAATTTGACGATTCATAATTATGACTGCATACATCATATTGTTTTAGGTGTTAAGGCGAAGAGAGAGAGAGCTGGAGCACGAGATGGAAAGACTAGCCAGGGAAAAAATTTGGGCCCAACAGAGGCACGCATCTCTTAAAAAAGAGCTGGCTGCTAAATGGGATCACATTGATTTCAGTAAATTGTTGCCGGACTTGCCGCCCGACGTGATGACCACCAGGAAGACTACTAGTGAGTCTTTTATCCGTAATAGTTGTAATTAATAAAAAAAAAATATAATAATAAAACTATATAAAAAATAATTGGGAAATTTTTTTCGCTTTACAGTAGCCACAAGTATAAACGGAGATTTCGAGACGGAAAGGGACGCTAGTATGGTTACTAGCGATGCGGACGACAGCAAACTCAGTGCTCTGTATAGTAGTACATCATCGCTGTCAAGTTCCTCTCCGCCCACTCTGCCGCTCATCTCCGATATTACTCCCCATCAGGTGCAAGTCGTCAGCACGTCTCCGATGATGGGGAGTACCATTCACATAGTTCCTCAGCCCAGAAACTCGTCTTCGTTACCATCTAACACTTTGCAACAGCAAACTCTCACGTTTGTCCATCATAAAGACGCTCTGAGTAAGTATCAAACTACTGAATATAATGTATATTTGCCCCTTTCGTCTTAATGCTTATATGGTTATTGCTTAAATTTACAATCTGTTCTCCGACAGAAACCTGCAAATAACATAATGTACTTACTTATTTTTAGATCAACACGATGGTACTACTCAAGCCGTGTTGACCAAGGTGTCGAATGGTTCATTTACCTTGTATGGCGATCCAAAACTAACACCCAATCGTTCCAAAGTGTCTCTTGCAGGTATGCAATAATGAAAACGTTAGATATGTGTTTTTATTTTTTGTACTTACATAACATTATTGCACCTGGTATTTTCATATACATTTTTTTTCCAGGCATAAAGATTGGCCCAAGTGTGATTGATCATTCCAACAACACAGCAGCGGCACCAATCAGGCTGTTGCAGAATAATAGTTTAATAACAGCACAAACGTCAGGTACTATATTTTGTTTTTAAATTAAACTATGCATAAAGATTAATAGCTTCTATCATGATTTGTATTCTAGTTGTAAATAGAGGACAACCTACTCCAAATCATGTCATAACTCGGCCATTACTCCTAACTCATCATCATACTAACTCTTCTCCAGCTCATTTAGTACTATCAACAGCTTCTTCTAAGGTATAGTAATAAAATAACTAACCTTTTGTTATAGTTTCTTAAATATTTATAATATGTGTCCTAATATATAATTTGTATTTGATTTTTATAGGCAGTGACTATTCCAAATCAGCAAATACCGCCACTGTCTAATGGTCATCTCTTAGTCAAGCCGAGTGCGATGGTGGTTATGAACAGTTCACAGCCTAAATCGCATCATTCCGGCCACAAAGCATAGCATTCACCGATCTTTATGTTAAATTATATAAACTATTGTACAATAATACTAATTTTTTTGGGGTTTTTGGTAATAACAGTGTATAAAAATAGTGTTAATAACAGTAAAAAAACAAAAAATAAAAAACAAAAAAAAAAAAAATGACTTTGTACCATGTAATATTTATATAGACTACAATGAAATTATTTTATTATATTTATTATTTCAAAAACCTGACATCTTTAAAAGCCTATTGTAAATATTATAGTTTTAATTTTATTTATTAAAGTTATAAAAGATATCACATTAAAAAATTAATTATCGTAATTAAATATATTTGTCATTATGATAATTTTGGTCATTATATTGCATATAATTCCAATTAACTCTATATATTAATATTATTTTACCTGGTTCAGTTTATTAAGGTTATATTTTAGGTCATTGAAAATTTAAAACTTGAAGTACGGAAACCCTATTTAAGACTGACAAGTGTACAATGCCAAATAATCTCAGTAAATTTTTTTTTAGATTAATGAAAACAGTTCATACTGTCCCTTTTTTTTATTTATAATTAGTATTTTTAACTAAGCTAAAGTTTTATCTATTTATAAAATTATGAATTAATATTATTTATTTTGTAATATAATTTTACAGAATTGATGTTCTGTTTAATTGACTTATTATTAACTATACAAAAATAATTGCTATATTTAGTCATTAATAACTATTTAAAAAAAAAAAATGTTTTATTTATTTTATTATAATAAAAATGCAAAAGTTCACAAAATATTTACCAATTATTTAGCAAATATGCATTTTTATTTACAAAGTTGTCATTACTAGTGATATATGGAAATTGGTTATTTGCTTAAATGTTTTGTGGGTTTTTATTAAAATATTATATATCTGTAGAAGTGTAAAAGATATAATATAAAAATTTAAAAAGAAAATGATAAAAATAATAATAAATTGGGAACAATCAAAATATGGAATAGATTTTGAAACTAATCAATCATTAAACATAGATTTTAGATTTGTTTTTAGGTTTAATTCTTTATTCAACAAATAAAAAATGATCAGGTCATTTTCATTAGGTAACATGGTAACTACAAAATTGTAATAAAATAAAAATTACTTAAAACATTTTCAGTTATAAAATATCAATCTGAGACGGATGAATTAGTTGTAATGGATTTTAATAATTTGTAACATTGCATTAGATTTTTACGATCACCGATTTTTTCTAATGTTTGGGCTGCCTCGGCTAACATACCAGCTCTAATTCCAGGTGGTGATAGAAGTGACGTGGGCAAATGTTTGCATGCCAGAAATAATGCGGTTGCATGTTCCCTTAGACCTACTGTACTTTGTTCACCTTTACCTAAAGAAGTATAAACATAATAAGAACTTATGTATTATATTTATTTTTAAAACAAGGTTTATTAAGAAGTGCATACCTTTAGTACAAATAACAAAATGTCTTGTTGATCTATGTCTTAAACTACGATCTAATAGTTGTTGGGTTTTTGTTGGTGAAGCTCCTGCCATCAACCGAGCAGTTGCTTCATACAAGAATACTTTAGCCGTCGCAAACTAAAAAAAATAAACAAAATAAATTCTGTATTATGTAAATATAATTGCTAAATAAAATAATGTTATCTATATATACGGAACAAATTAATTAAGAGTAATAAGGTCAGTAGTACTGATTTGTAAATGACTGAATCGTAATTAGATAAGTGTCATTTTCTTTAACCATTAGTAATTGAGGTTAAGTTTTAAACATAATAAAATTAAATAAATATTATCTAGTATAATTCAAGCCTTACAGGTACAAATTGTGCAATTTTTCGTAAAGAATTTAAATCTTCTTGGAAACTTTTCAAATTGGAGAATTCCAAATTGATATAGCCTGCCGGCATTTTCTTATATTCTTCTTGCCATGATAACATTCTAGTCTCCAATAACCAGTCGCAAGCCAATAATAACGTCATCTATAATAAAAGAAAAACAAATTATTCATAATTACCTTATTTATAATACTTGACTTACTATAACAACTGCAGAGGGTTTATTGGTTTGTAATAGGATTAAAGTTTCTGATAGTATTTTGCTAGCTTCGTGACAATGGTGTTCTAAAATTCTTGGTTTCATCATTAGGATTTTATTTCGACATCTGTATACAATTTTTGGTTGTTAAAAAATATATAGTTACTTCATGGTAAATAATCATACTTGTAAGCAGCCAATGCAGCTTGTGCCAATGGGTCTACTAGTAAACTTGGTGGAACATTTGAGATCTTTTTATCAAGTAAATCTATACCGTAATCTTCACCTAAAATCCAATAAGCTCCAACAGCAAACATTGCACCCCACCATGCAACTTTTTCGTCTTCTACCACTAAGAAATATAAATATAAATTTAAATATTAGTTGTATAGTTTATTAATTAAGACTTACCATTTACTTCAGAACTTCCAATTAATCTAGGTTTTGCTGTAATTAAATTAGATTCTACGATGCGTTGTATATACAGTAGTACATCTGAAGTTACTGTTGGTTGTTTGGCATGACCAACTGTTTGAACAATTTTTTTTGTCCCAGGTGATATCAACGTTTGTAAAGCTTTTTCTAAGGTATATTCTCTGAAAAGCTAATTAAAGAAATTATATTTTAAAGTAGGAAAGTAGTAGTTTTAAAGTAGTAGCAAATAAGATTACAATTACATACCCTGGTAACATGTGATAAAGGGTCATTAGAGTCTAAAAGTGTTGTAAAAGATGATGTAGCTGTGAATGGAGTAAAAGTCCAGTTATGATCAATAAAAAATCGAAACCCATGATCAGTTGTAAGCCAATTCAAATTGGCTGGTAATCTATTAAAGTTAACCACTTGATTTTGTGCTTTATGTAGGTAATACCTAAGGAACAAAAAAAAAAATTTTTTTACATAATTGAAAATATTTTGATATAAAATACCTACTTTGTATAAAATCCAACACCTTTAAATGATACAGTTTTGAAATGAAGAGCCATAGTTGAATAAAGGCGCACACGAGTTTCAATTGAAATAATTTGTTGCCCAGCTGCTTCAGCCATATTAAGTGCACTAAGTCCTAAGTATAAACCAATGCCCCTATGAGTATTAGGTATTGGACAATCAGATCCACTTATCAAATACAATTTGTGAAGAACATGGTATATTTCACTAAGCTGTTTAGCTGTATTTAAAGTGTTATGCTTTTTGGTCCTATCAAATAATACAGAAATTATCAATTAGCTATTTTATACAAAAAATAAAACTGTATCATACTCATTATAAAAAATTGAATTATTCCACTTCTTTAAAAGTATAATGATTTTGAATTGATGTAAAAATTGTCTGATAATTTGCCAAATTAATGAAGTCCATATTTTTTTACGACTTGTCAAAATTGGCCGACCTAACATTTCTAAACACTTAGAAAACTCAAGAACAGCAAGTTTTTTATTCCCCTGTAAATTATTGAAATATTGGTTAAATAATAGAAGTACTATATATGTATATATATATATATATTATATTTTGCAACAACCTTATACAAATTTTCTTCAGCTTGTTTTTTCAGTTGAATATAATCTTTATAATTTTCAGAATCTGAGTATATTATTGGATCATCAATAAGAAGGCAGGTTAAACTAATGATCATTAGAAGAATATTTAATGCCCAAACCGATAAAGTAAATGCATATGTTTGATATGTGTCAGTATCCATAACAGAATCTTTAAAATCAATTATCATAAATACATATTTACAAATAGTTTAATAATTAATTACCTGTTTTTGCATTTAAAATAGTTCTACCATCAACTTTCTCTGTCCAAGAAGATTGAGAAGATGATACATTGTTATTCAATATATTTCCAAATGGATTAAAGGCAATAACTGCAATCATGAAAATGCATAATCCTAATCTTGAATGATCAGCCATTCCTTTATTTCCAGATTTTTTGCTCTATAATTATTAAAAAATAATAGTAAATAGAAGAGAATAGAAATATGCTGAAATAATTTTTTTCTTCTTAAGCTCAAGCTCCTAACTCATTCCAACAATTTTTATTTTTATTCAATTAATAAATAAAAAAAGTTTAAATATATTTATTGTTTAAAAATAAAGAATGAAAAATAAAAATATAAAATTATTAAGAAATATTAATTCAAATACAAATAATTACTTTTAAAAATATTAAAAAATCAAATCAAATAATTAAAACAATAAAATGAATATTGGTTCAAGATAAATTTGTCAATTTTTTTTTTATTTTTTATTTAGATATAACATGTTTACAGTTTTTCAAATTTCAGAAGTTGTCCGTGGTAGATATATTTTGGTCAATTGTATTTATTATATATAAACTTAATAAGTTGTTTATAATGCTATTAAATTTATAAGTAAAAATGAATATACTCTACCAAAATAGTATGTGTGCTCGTCAAGATTTCAGGTGATGTAGGTGGAGATGAAACACCTTCCGGTGAAGAAAAAGAACTATATGATTGAGGAGGTGTAAGTGGAGCAGGTGTATTGTATTCTTCGTGAGAAGGAGAAGGACTTAGGATGAAATGTTTTTTTGAAACATTTTGTTTTAGCATTTTATTTTCGGCTTTTAATTTTTCATTAGCCATTTCCAAGTACTTTATATAATCTATAGCTTTTTTAAGTATAGCTGATTTGTTGAGCTAAAAAAACAACATGAATGTTTAGTAGTTATAAATACACTCAAGACTATTGACTATATTAAATATACTTTAGCTTCAGGTCCAAGAATCATATCTTTTAGTTCCAAAATTTTGTCATTTATGCTTGTACGATACCGTCTTTCAATAACATTATGAGAATTTCGTGGTTTTTCATCTTTTGGTGATTTTATATTAATATTATAGTTCATTGACATATCTGAATCAATCATAACAGGTATGCCTAAAATTATCATAATTTAATTATATTGAATGATTATTTATAATTTTCATAAAAAATGAAATTATATTACTTGATGTAACAAAAGCAGCATTATTTAGTATAATTGGCTGACCATTTGTTGATGTATATAAAACAGTAGGTGATGTGTTTAGTTGGGAATTAAAAATAACCTAAAAATTGATTATTGGATTTTATCACTTTAACCACTGTAACTTTTTAGTAAAATATATAAATATTTAAATACTTGTTCCATTTGATCATCAGGTAAATTTATGCGTCTAACATTTTGAACTGGAAGAATAGTATGCATACCAGGTTTTTGTATATATCTTAATTTTTGGTCAACGTTTTGTTCAATAACATAATTAGGTTGAATTGGTTTTTCAACAAGTTTACGATTGGGTTTAATAACATTAAATGATTTAGGGCAAAGCTTAACCTCTTGCTTCTTTAAAGTAGTGGGTGGAACTACAGGATTATTATCAATTTGTGGAATCTCAACTTTTATTGGAGATATCTGAATATCTGGTTCAATTTTAGATACATCAATTGGTTGTAAATCATCAAATTCAGATAGTAAATTATCATCAATGAACATGTTAGTGTTGACTTCTGGCATTTGAATATCATATTTGTTTAACAAGTCTATAAAAGAACAATTAGAGTATTCTTAGTAGTATTCGACAGATTTAATATAACTTAATACACTTACCATCAAAACCAGCAAAATCTAAATCTTCCGACATGTCTAAAGAATCCATAGTTGTTAAATAAAAAAATGTATGATGTTTAAAAAAACTCAAACTATTCAAAAAAAATTTAAATTTTATATGTCATCTCACTCTAATCCCTTTTACATGTTTTTTTGTGATTAAATACAAACAGGTGCAATAGTGAAGTGATTCATTGTTATGAGTTCTTTCAAATGATCATGATTGGTTGTAGACGATTAGAATTTGAATAGCACGTTTACACGTCGTTAAGTACTGACACTACAGGTTTGTTACACGATTAAATGAACGGATAGTTTCAAGAGCATAAACATCTGTTTTTATGAAGCGTTAAAGCCTTTGAAAGTAGTAGTAGCTTAATAACTTTGAAACAACAATTAGTGTACGAATATCAATGAAATAAAAGTACCCATTAAAATAAAACTCAAATTCATCGTATCGGATTCGAGTAAATCATCGTACCACTTTGATATTGTTCACGATAAATATATGTAAACATCGAAAACAACAACTATGGAAAACGCATATGATAGCGAAATCAGATGGTGCATGCGTATGTCGTTGGGGTGTACAGCTGTAGCTACTGCTCTACTCTAGCTGAAAAATCTTTACTTACTTAGTTACATATAACTAGTGATGGGCACTATAAGATTATTCGATAGTTTGGTCACAGATTATATAATATTCATATAATCTGTGGTTTAGTGTAATTGAACTATTCAATAGTACCCGAACTATTTGATAACCTCAATCTAACTATTTGAATATTCGAAATAATCAAATTGTTTTTGAATATTACTGATGGACATTTTTTTTAACATACTATACCTATTGTGAACTTAATGAGAAGTCTTCAATCACAACTTTTTTTTAATCATTTGAAATTTGAATTAAAAAACTCTTGAAAATTAATTGTAAGGTTCTTCATTAATTGATTTTCGTTAGTAAAAATTTCGACAGTGTTTATGCTATTTATTGGTATTTGAAATTTAGACCAGGGCCGTATTTAAGATTTCTCCATCGAGGGGCTACAAAATTTTGCGTCCCCTCTTCCCTGAAGTGTAAAATCAAAAATAAGTGTTTCCCTAACTATTCATTAAAAAGCATCTAGCAATTAGTTTTCCTCATTTCAGTACACTATAACCAGAGCTGGATTAAACATTCATGGGTCCCTAGGTGATTAAAATGTTGGGCCCTACAAAATTATTTTTTATATACATCTTTAACATTAGTATCCAATAGTTAAAATAAAAAGCTTTAATTATAACCGAATATTAATAATGAATAAAATCGTGTTCATTACATTTTATTATTTGCAAGAAAAATTAATCAATTGTTACACTGTTTTAATTTTTTTCAAAATAATTTTATTATTATTACTGCATATAAAACCTACAACTTAACATATATTATATTTCATAATGATTTTTTCCCCGTAAATTCGTCAATAGAATACAGGTATTATTGAATTAAAAAAAAAAAAAGTTTTCCGTTTTCACGGGGCCCCTTAAATGAGTTAGGCCCTAAGGCGGGCGCCTACTCTACCTAATGGGTAATGCGGCACTGACTATAACACAATATTTGTAATAAATATCAAATCCAAAATAATAATCAAGTTATATGAGGATCTCCTCATTAATATGACTAAAATAATCACAAGGTAACAGCACTATACACAAACGTCTAGAGACAGAAAACGCTGAATGGCTGCAAGATAGCGGCCTTATGCTCTTATCAATCGTACCTCTTATCTTCAAAAACATTTATCAGTATTATCACAGAATACTTATATTATGTGATATTATCTCAAAAGATTATCTTGTCTAATCTAAATAAATTATGTAATCTCAAACTTATCTAGTCTCAGCATCCCAGGTGACCCTGGAAGACGTTTAAGACGCAAATGGTGCCGGGATCTGACTGAATAAAGCCCATTCACAATTTCAAGAAGTTCCATCGCTGGATGAATTTTTTGTTCAAGTCATCAGTCCCTTTTTATTTTATTTGTATTCTATTTCTGTCTTTACAACACTTGTAATTATTGTAAAAATAATATATTTACAGATTGTATAATAAAATTAATTAATAACAAAAAAAAAAAAAAAAAGATTATGAAATAGTAAATATACAATATTGTTAATCCTCAATCCTCATGCAATTTTGCTTTTTTTATAACTTGTTTAACTAATGATGCATCATTTGATTTGACTCATTTATATGGCCAGCATAGTAATATGTTATGTTCATATAAAATGTTAAATTTTAATGCTATAGAAGGTGGATCAATATATTTGTATGTATTATATAATAATATAAATAAATAAATAAAATTAATTAAAAAAATTGTTGAAATTGATATTGTAAAATAGTAATATAACTGAACTATGTTGAATTTATTATAATTTATAACTATTTACATTAAAATTTGAATTACTAATAATTATTTTTATGAACTATGAATGTTTGTTAATATTTAATATTTCATAATCTCTTGAGATAATATCATATAATAAAAGTATTCTGTGATAGTACTGATAAATGTTTTTGAAGATAAGAGGTACGATTGATAAAAGCATAAGGCTGCCATCTTGCAGCCATTCGGCGTTTTCTGTCTCTAGACGCTTGTACACTATAGCAGCAATATTTATTTTTTTAGGTTACATTAGTTAAACGTTTAACTATTTGTTTTCTTTACATTATCTATGACGATACCCTATCTCATTTCTCTAGCAGAATAAGTTATTAATTATCTTTAAGAACACACCTTTATGTTTCTCTCATATTTTTGTGTATCGTTTGTTTTGGTTTTGTACATTTTTTCCCGGTAAACTACATCGAACTGATTTTACGATGAATGAAAAAATTTTACAAAATAAACCGACCATCATCAGGAATAAAGAACCCGAAATCGATCTTTACACGGTACAGAACTTAATTATGATTAGAAATCCATAATATTATTATTAATGTTTTTGTTTACTAATTTAAATATTAAACTATAAATTAAACATCATGTGCAGTATAAACTTTTAACACTCTTAACAAATGTATATACTTTCATATACTTTCTTTTAATAGGCAGTAGCAAAATATGAAGAAAAACAAGCAATCAATAGAGATGAAAATTGCGATTCTGCAATTTATTTCAACACCTTGCATAAATGGCAAGACGTAATGAAATGGAATTTTGAGTTAAAAAATAAAGAAAACCCACCAGTGAGTTCGATAGTACTAAAATAAAAAATCCTATTTATTAAAATACTTTTTTTTTTTTACTAAACAAAATTTTATGTTTTTTATATTATTATTTTTACTATTAAAATATACCTATTAAAATTGTCCTCGATTACAGTGGTTCCCAATTTGGGGGGAAATCGAAAATCACATTAAATTGTTTAATTCTTGAATAATTTTTTTTTTTTTTTGATAAAAAAATTGTTTTTTTAATAAATAAATTGTAATAACTGACGTACGTGCACATTATACATTTATAATTATCGGTGGGCCTCAACGATTTTCTACGAAATTGGTGGTCTGCACTATAAAAAAAATTGGGAACTGCTGCTCTATTTAATTATATTCAATCTTTCTAGTTTTTAGTTTTATGTGCAATTTATATATAGTATTGAAAATAATTTGGTTCTGTATATAAAAAATAAACAATATTTATTAGTTTTTAAGGTATTTTAATATACTAATAATTTCACATTTTCAAAAATTTATTTTAATTTTTTTGTTTTGTTAAATTAGTTAATTTTTACTAGTATTCATCTTGATTTTTAAATTCACATAATTTTTTAATTTAACTTATGTTTTCTTATTATATATATTAGGTAAAGTATATACAGCTTTATAGTTAAAAAAAATGAACTATACATTCTACAAAAATGAAATATTACTTTAAGAACAGAACATAATGATTTGTTTTATTGTTTCTATTATTATTTATTTTTATTAAGTGGAAACAGTTTATATTTGGTTACGTTTTTCTATTTAACATGTTTTTTAAAAATACATTCTGTGCAGAAAATTAAGTTTGACATTTATACAAGATTCAGAATTTAAATCAATATCACAAAATTTAAAAAAAAAAAAAATAATATTTTTGTAGTGATTTTATTGATGAAGGAGTACAGGAATTTCAGTTTTAAAATTTTTATATAGTTATGATTTTGTCAAACAATATTATATTTAATTAAACAAAGACAATTAAATTGGAGCAACATTCTGTTAATGTCATTCAGTCATAATATTTTTTTTTAAAATGTTTGTTAAATAGATAGAAAAAATTGAAGAGTATAAAAATGATGCCATTCATTTTTTTTTAATACTAAAAAAGTTGAATAGACTTGACAAAATCCGTTCAAAACAAAAAAAAGATTTATTAAACAAAAAAAAACAAGAAATCGACAGTAAACATTTACAGCAAGAAAATTTGCTAAATGAATTATTTTATTTAAAAAAAGAAATTTCAAAATGCCTTCAATACAAGTATACTTCCAAATTAATATATTTTGAGTAATATAAACATATTATGTTTTATTTCATTTTTTTTTAGATCTAGCGATTGTGATATTGATCTTGTACCGTTAGATGTATTTAATCGAGAATCACCAGGATCAATTGATTATATAGTATGTGAATCAAAACTATAATTAAGAATATTTAATTATTTAGATTCTATATTTTGTTTTAGGATAATCTGCAGAAAGGATTGATAAGTGATCATGATTTACATGTTAAACGTCTTCAATGGGAACTTGAACAAAGGCAAACTCAACAAAAACAATGTGATGAAGTTGAGAAAAGTAAAGAAATTATACTTTCTGAGATTCAAGAAGAAAGTAGAATTTTACAAAGTATTTTACCTATGCTGAAAGATATACGTTCTGTAAGTTAATATTTTTTTACGGGTTTATTAAAATATAAATATTAAATATTAAGAATTAATTATGTAAATATGATTCACAAATGTATATAATTTTATAATTTTATATGGTAATTAAATGCTTTTAGTATAATTAATTATTTAGTATGACTACAGTTTGTTAATATTATTATCAGTACTATAAATAAAATTCAAATAAATTTAATGTTAATTTGATTTGCTTCATATATTATAAATGAATTTTAAACCATTTTTTGCTATTTCTTAATATTTATTCACATTATGAAATAAATATTTTGACAAAATTATGATATATCAAGGAGGGTTTTATCAAAATGTTATGAAAAAAGTAAACATTTTTTATCAAAAATTCATATTTTTTATAGTAAATTGTGTATTACTCTACATAATTTCTTATTTACTATAGTTTTTCACGACAACTAAAATTTACTAAAGAAAATAATAACAATCAATGACTAATACTCCATTCTAAGAAAACTAAGATAATGATGATTAACAGGGTATAGCTCTTAAAATATGAATGATATGAAAACCAAACTTTAGGTATACTTGGTATTATTTCGCAGAACAATAAAATGTGATGAAAAACCATAGTAAATATGAAATTATTTAAATTAATACACAATTTTTTTTTAAAAATATTAATTTTTTATAAAAAAATGTTTATTTTTTTCAATTTAATAAAAATAATATGTCCATTCTTGTTTAATTGTGTTTGTTGGTTGATAGTAAAATTAAATAGATTTAAATTAAATATTAAGTTTAAAAAGTTAAAAAGTTTTAAAAGTACATTAAAAATTTATGTAAGGTATAGTTAAAAATTGTTAAATTGTTAAATTGTTCATAGCTAAAAAAAATAAAAGTTAGACTCCCTCTTTAAAGGGTATTTCTTTATCATTTTTGGTATATATTCATATGAATTTGTATGGTCACTTCACTCTGGACACCTTGTAAGCTTAAAATTATTTTATTTCATGTAATATTTATAAGTATTGAGATATTATCTAAAGGTAATGTAATTTGATCTGGCTAATGTTAACATTACTAAAATTGGTTATCTGGCTAATGTAAATTTCTGAATTTTAATGTCACACACACACACACACTTATAAGTTTACAATTATATTAAAATAAAATTTTACTTATTTGCAGGCTGCTCAGCCATTGCAGCAAAGTTTTGGATTAGCTCCTTGTCAAGCAAGATCATATGCAGATATAGTAAATTTATTACCCAAACCATTGTATTATTTATACATTCAAACAGATGCATATAGAGAAGCATGCAGTAAGTTATATTTATAAGTAATTAGTATGTACTTAATGTGAGGTTTTAAATATTTAATCAATCTCATGGATATTAATCACAAAAAATATTTTAGAATCTAAATTTACTGTTTTAACAAATGGCGATGAAGAAGAAGCTAGACGATTTGATTCCAATAAAAATAATGTAGTGGATACTAATTCTGATGAGGTAAATATTTAATTATATATACAAGTAAATATTTCAGACATAGTCCATTTGGCTTCCATTAAAAAAGGTTTTACAAACAGGTAAACTTTTAAACGACTCATGTTTATATAACTTAAATTCCTTCTCACTACATATAGACTTTATATGTAGTGGGAAGGAATTTAGGAAGGAAGGACTGTTTTGAAAAAGGTATGGTTAAAAATGTGTTGGTATACACTAAATCATTATAAAAATATATAAAAATATTATTTATTATTGTGAATTAAATTTTATTACATTTTAGCATTAAAAAATATAAAAAATTGTATTTATATGTAAAAATATAAAAAAAAATTATATGTTGGGTACATTTTTATCGATTATAATGTATCTATTTAAAGTACTTACTATTGTTAATAGTATCAATTAGCCATAAACACATGCCATACACGCCAATTAGATATCAGTGATATACGAATTAGTATAGATATGACATAATACAAACAAGCATTGGTGATGTTTACCAAGTACACTAGTACATATAATATATAATTAGTTTTGGCATTTTCGATATTATAAAAACGTCAGATATATTCGGTATTACCCTCAGCAGTTTGGAAATTTGCCTGTTTGTATAACTTTTAACATAACTGTTCATTAAACCTTTTTTAATGGGAGTCATTTGGGAGTAAGCCAATAATGGACGGGAGCCGTTTGGGATCCACCGAATATTTCTACTTATTTTTTAAGTATTCCAATTAATGCTAATTATTAGTTATTATTTTTAAATAAAATTCTAGATATTCTATAGTTACTATATTATTTTATACAATATATTAACTAAAAGTTTATTTTATTTTATTATAACTGATATCTACTAAATTAACTTATTTTTTTAATTTCGAAAATTTGAATTAATTAATTTTTTTATTTTGTTTTCCTTGGTAAATAGTTGAAAGGCTTTCATATTTCAAAATTCTATAAAAAATAAAAAATAAAAATATTGGTGATCTTATAATTAAATTAAATATTATTACAATTAAATTTTATTATTTCTGATTTAGCAATAAATAAATAATTTATAAGTTTGTTTTACTGCAAACTATACTGATTTTAAGTTTTTTTCCCCTACTTTTCCTACTGTTCAATTGAGTAGAATAAAAAAACAAAGAAAGTGCATAATTTCCACCAATAATATAATTTTCATAGTTATTCCATAATGAAATCGCAATAAAATTTATAGTAAATTTTGTTTAAATATTTGAAATAAGCAGAATCATTAAATACTATGATTTTACTATGAATTTTCTATAATAAATAAATTGTTTTTAAAAAAATAATGCATTGTGTGTAAAATATATCCATAACCAGGGTATTCATATATATAGTAGTGGTTTCACATGTATCCAGTGGGTCTCAACCCCTCCTTCCTTCTGGTCTTGAGTTCAGGCAATGATATATTATTCATTCTGATAGCTCGAGTTTAAAATGTTATATTATGTTTATTTTTTATAATAATTAAATTTAAGAATATAAGGAATTAAATATAAAAATTATATTTTAAGTAATAAATTATTAATGGGTTAAACATTTGTATGCCTTAATATATTATAAGAAAATATCAAAGGATTCTCCCCCCTCCAAAAAAATTTCTCAAAATCGCTATTGCAAATAATAGCTTGGCTATTTTACGATAACAAGTGTGACATTTTTTATTTTTTATTCAAATTATATTGGTCTGATATTTTTTGTTGATTTTAAAAAATGTAATAAATGTAATAATAATAATAAAAATGTTATTTTTATTATTTTTTTATTAATTTCTGTAATTACATAGAAATTGAAATTAATTCTTACACATTATATTTTACAGGAAATTGATGCACCAAAACCCAAAAAACGACACCATAAAAAATCACGTACTGATACTAAATCTGTTCAACAGAAAAGTTTGTTATCTAAACATCCCTTATCTGTTAAATTGACTTTGAATTTAAAAAACAATACTCTGTTTGTCATGGAATTTTTTTATTTGGTTAATTTAAACTTAATTACGGTTACTGTCTCTTCATCATGGTCAGGATTTTCATCATCCTACTCTAGAGAGTTGCTTTCACCTAGTTCTATACTTGATGCATTATTCCCTGGTGATAATGGTAAAGAAAGTCCACAAATAGTAAATTTTCATCAATTAGAAGAAGTGAGGAATTATAATTATTTTAAATAGCTAATTATTATTGAAGTTAAATTTTTACTGTATAATTTAGGCAAAAACCGAGTTAAACACTTTAGATGTTGGTAAGCCTTATATTTGGGCTCAGAGTATATGTGGTTTTGATTTTTTGAACCCTAGCTCACCTGATTTCCTTATTTCAAGAAATCATATTGCCCAAGTATTAAAGGCAATTAATAATCGTCTTAAGACTCGACTTTCTTTAATTACTCAGCTTGATTGTAGTGGTAAGAATTGAAAACAAAAATATTATCTAACCTATTTATTTCCTTAATTTTATTAGTATTATTATTTTAGATTTAGAGCGTAGATTTAGTATAAATGGAGTCAATTTAACTTCAGTATTATCCCCTTGGAATACAATGACATGGGATAATTTTAATAAGCTTGAATACTGTATACCACATGTTGAATTTGGAACAGTGACAGAAAATGATTTGTTATTTAAACGCGTAGTGAATTATAAAACAGGTATTTATTTCATTATGGTTTAATCATTGACTGATCTAGTTAATATAACTAACTTATAGTAATTTAGTTATGTATAAAATACAGTTATATTTTACATATATATTTTCCTATTATATTTATTGATTAATTGGTTGTCGATGAAAAATCTTAACTTATTTATTAATAAAAAAAATTATATACAGTGTGTTCAACAATAAAAGTAACATGAAATTTTTTGAACGCATGACCTTGTATGCAATTCGGGTTTTTTGTAATATATAAAGGATATAAAATTATATTTATTTTTGATAAATCTTAATTTTTAAAAAAAAAAAATTCTGCGCATGCGCAACAAACTAATTTTTTTTAAATGGTACTCCCCATTTTTGAGTTCAAATTGGAATTATGTGAATTGTTTCAAGAAACTTTGATCTTTAAAGTTTTGTTCTATCTTCAAAACTGACTGATTGAGAATGAGTTAGATTTTCGATTTAAAACATTTGTATTTATCCTATTTTTCAATAGTCTTTTTACAGTTTTACAAATTTATAAGTGATTTTGTATGAATTATTCTAAAAAATTAAGTGTACTATCATAAGTACAAGTAATTTACAATACTTCTACAGAAATTTTAACTCACCTGCGCATTAATTGTTCGAGAATATTTAGAGAGTGTTTTAAATCATAGATGGATGTATACTCTTGGGCCAGTACAATGGCCTCCAAGATTACCAGATTTGACACCTTAATATTTTTTTTTATGGAGACATCTGAAGACAGTTGTCTATTCTAACCCACCAAATGATCTTATAGATTTGAAAAATAAAATAATTATTGCGTGTCCATAGTTAACCGAGGAACAAATACTTTCTACGACACACAGAGAAGTATTGTGACAGTGTGAAGCATGCATTGCAAATAATGGTAATAACTTTAAGCAATTTATATGATGAATTGTAAAATTTAATCAAAATTCACCTGTACAAAATTTAATTGTTCAATAAAATCAAAATTTTATTTTAAAACTGAATCAAAAAAATAGAATATGTGTTAGTTTGTTTAGTCTGTTTGTTTATGTGTTAGTTTTAATTAACCAAAATTATACTATTTACAAGAAATTTGTGTTAAAATGTCTGTAGAAGTATTGTAAATTACTTGTACTTGTGACAGTACACTTAATTTTTAAGAAAATTTCATACGAAATCACTTATAAATTTGTAAAACTCCTAAATAGACTATTGAAAAATATGATAAATACAAATGTTATAAATCGAAAGTTTAACTCATCCTCAATCAGTCAATTTGAAAATAGAGCAAAACTTTAAAGGTCAAAAAGTTGCTTGAAAAAATGGGGGGTGCCATTTAAAAAAAATTTATTTTGTTTCGCATGTGTAGAATTTTTTTTTTTAAAAAATTAAGATTTATCAAAAATAAATGTAATTTTATGTCCTTTATGCATTACAAAAAATCCGAATTGCATACAAGGTTATGCGTTCGAAATATTTCGTGTTACTTTTATCGTTGAACACACTGTATATATTCTATATATATATACTAAGTATATATACTAAGTTCATAAAATATTTTTTGAAGTATTGAAAATAAATTTATCAAAATGGTTGACAATTATCATTTATACTTTTCATCTAAATAACTAGACATTTGATTTAAATTGATATCAAACAAATTAAATAAAATAGTTTATATTTTATCAAGAGAGTTAATGATTGCCCATTTTTCCCTGTACTCAAGCTACTACTGGTACATATTTATATATTATGTATTACTTTTTGATAATATTTATGGTACAATTATTTTTCAGCTACATTAACTGTTGTTATGGCTATTAAATGTGATTATCCTAAGAGTAAACCTATTTTTGCCCTTCAATTAAATATACCAACTATAAATGAAGGGATATCAGTTTTGAATTCTACAAATAATAATTCTGTTAGAGTAAGTTCAGATGAAATTCCATTGTTGTAAGTTTACTAATTTGAACTAATCTAGGAATTAGAAAGAGAAATCAATATTTTCCATGAAGAAGTAGAAGATAAAAACATTAATGAAATGTTAATCGATTTAATTGGCCGTCTCGTTGTATGTTTTGAGGTGATGATGGAGACTTGGGGACATACTGACTTCCCCAAAACTAAAACAATTTTATACAATATAAGGTAAATGTGGAAAAATAGACTAATAAAATATTAAATTTATTTTAATATAATTTACAAATAGTTATAAAAAAAAAAATTTATTTTTTATTTATTCATAGGGGTCGAACCAGAAGTCATCCATTTAAGGCAGTGAAACATCATTCAGGAATTATTTTTGAACACCGTTAATTATTTTTTATTTATTTAGAATGTATCTTATAGAGTATTTTTTTTTAATTCTACAATTGTACTGTTAATTGGTTTCTTATTTTAAACTTACTCAATTGATGATTTAATTAAAATTCCAATAATTGAATAAATAAGTTTATTATGTAATTAAATGATTTTTTTTATTTAAATCTATAAAGTTTTTAATATATTGTAATAAATACTTTTTTTTATTAAATTTTTTATATTCATATTTATATAAATATGTAGTTTATATTTTTTTTCTTGACAGTTCTTGACAATTTTTAAAGAATGTCTTAGATTGTTAAAATAGTAAAGTTATTAATTTAATCAAATATGATGAAAATAATTTGATGCAATTTGATATACATAATATATGAACACTAACACCACTGAAAAACATTAATTTAATTTCAAATACATGGAAAATTTACATGTAATATCTATATGTAATTTTTCATTATGATTTCTATTAGATGTCTGTTAGACTTATGGCAATAATAATATCATTCATGTTATTAAAAAAAATGGTGTATATGTAATCTAAAAATTGAATTATTACCAATATGGTTGAAAAATAATTGGATAAATTGCCATATAATGTACCTACAGTAATTGACCAATATTTGGATCCAAAACTAATTATTTTGGTAAACTTTTTGGGATAGAAAATGCTTTCAATCGTTTTCATGGATACAACAAATAGGTGAATATATTTTTAATTAGATTATTTAAATCTACGACCGCGGTCATGAACTTTAATCTTTGTAATGGTTTATAGCAGGAGCGGTTAAACGGTCGATCGTGGACGATTTCAGAGTCGATCGTGTTAGAATTTATTTTTAGGCCACGTGCACGAAAATTAATAGTGGTTATGAACAAATTGTCGATAAATTTTATCTGTATAGTTTTTATCTTTTATTCTGGTTTATAAAAAAATTTTCCAAGAAAATCGATCTTCAAAGGTGAAGTATATTTTTAGTAGATCGTGGCCGAAAAAAGTTTGACCGTCCGTGGTGTATAGCTTATAACTCGATTGTAGAGAAAAACATGTCTTGAATATATTTTTAAATTATACCTACTGTATACTGATTGAATAAAATAAAAATAGTTCATGCATATAATTTTTTTTTGCACTCAGTAAGCTAAATATTTTCCAGTTGGCAGTTTTCGTGGAAAGCATAGGATTCATTAATTTCTTTTATACTTGTCCGTATTCTATTGATTTGAATTTTGATTATCACTGAGATTTCAACAATTTTTTTTTTTTTTATTTAAGAGGTGCATTAAAATATTTGCCTCAGTAATTATAAATAACAATACAATTAAGCTACATAAAACAACTAGAAAAGCGATTTCAACTAAATTATTAATTATTAATATTTAATTAATTAAATATTAATTATTAATATTTAATTAATTAAATCACACACAAATAAAATAACTGTAAACAACATAATATGTTATATATTATATAAATTAAATTTTATTATTTCAATATTGATTCATAAAACAATTTTAATTGTTTTGTCTACAAAAAGTATGATAATAAGAAAATATAAACGTCGGGTAAATTATTTCTCACGTAAACACGTTGCACTATATTTGTATATAGGTATTTCGTGGTACTTATTTCAACACCAAATCAGAATCCTTTAAAAATAACAAATATAATTATGACGAATTGATAAGTAAACGTATATAAATCATTGGTTTTTAGTGCAATATTGTAATCGTAATTTAATTTCCGCTGAATATTAAATATAAAATACGCAATTGTACAATAATGAACGTGTCGTACAACAGTATATATAGTAGATCATATTGTAAATTAAAAACACTGCCATCATATAAACTATACAGTTATATATAGCAATCAATTTAATGTATTATATAAAATAATAATAACATTCAACTGACGTTTATATTCAAATGTACCTGTATTATATAGTTGTATATAAACATAGAATATAGATATAAGAACAGTAGATTTCAACAGAAGTGAGTATTATATTTGTGACATATATAGTGTGTAGAGCTCGTACAACTCGTGTATTCAGAATATATCATAGTGTATAAAACTAGGTATACATACATTTAAAATGCTTTGTTCCCGTTGAAGCGGTTAAGGTGGTTAGTAGTAGAAAATAAAATCAATAAAATAAGGCCTTCGGGATGCGAACTAACTAGCTGGGCAAAATGTTTACAAAGTTACATATATATATATATATATAATATAATTATAAATCTTAAAATTGCAAGAACAAAGTGCGTCGCCGTCGACTACTCGGTCGTATTTTTCTTTATAATACGAGTTACTTATCCGTGCTGTACGTCTGGTATACATCTGGCGTGTAATTGATACGCTCGCGCGTACGTAGTTAGCGAAATGCTCATGCATTTATTTTTGGTATCAAAAACGTACAAATATGATATTTATATGTTTGGTTGGATATTTTCCGTTACACGTATACTATTATCGCTATTGGCCGTAAGACATCGTTCATCAATGTATACATAATAATATTACGTTGTTGCGGTCGTCGTCGTTTTCGTCCATACATTACACTATTTCGTACACACTTTATTGTTGTTGTATTGCATTGTGTAGCTCGTTCATAAATCATATATATATATATACACATATATTATACACATACATACACTAGATGGGCCCACTTAACATCTAAATACATATTATACTACCTTTGCATGCAAAGTGCACACACTACCCCACCAGCTGTCTATCATTTCTGGATCTATTAAATGCATACGCTGGGTCTATGTGTGCGGCAGTGCGTGTGCACATAAGCGTGCGTTTCTGCCGTGTGCATATTTCGTATTTATTTATAATTTAGGTAAACATACATATGCACAGGTATACGGATATTTTTGCGTACGCACACAAGCACATACACACACGCACGCGATCGCTCTTACACATACAGATACGCAAACGCACACGAGTGCGCGCACGCGTATGGTATTTACAATTACTATTATCATTGTTTCTATCCGCATACGTCACGGATGTGGCAAAGCGCATGGACCGCTATACCGTTGCGCTGGGTTGCTGCGTTTCCATGACGACGGGACGAACGGCGGGATGGCTGTCAGGACAACATCCGACTACGACTACGACGGCGATGTGATCATTATATTAGTCAACATGCCAATAGGCAAGTGACCGGACATTCACAACGCACTCTCTCTTTCTCTTTTTTTTCTCTTTCTCTCTCTCTCTCTCTCTCTCTCTCGAGCTCATGAACACACATACTACACATCAGATATATACGCGCACGTACACTCGTAATAATAATCCGATCCATTATCATTTTTTTTTGTTCATACGAATTTTTCAACGTTTTCAGTCTGACTTTTGATTTCGGTGGATTTTTTTCGAAAATATAACATCCGACATTTTTGATGACGGTCAGACCTCGGACGTCCGTTCAATCCCGTATATAATGCCCACATCACGCACGTCGTCTTTTGATTAACCGGCAATCCACAATTTTCAGGTGAGTTTGTTGCTACATAACATCTGTGTTATCGCTCTTTACTACACTACACTTACACGTATTATACGATATAATTATTCAATAATTATTTTATCTATACATAATTTAACGTACTGAGTGATAGTTATTAAAATAGGTTTTCAGTTATTAATTATGAATTATCAAATTATCAAATTATTGTACGTATTGCTTAAACATATAAATTTATTACAACTGTTGATAACGACTATGACACTAGATTACAATGATAACCTACTATGACTAGTCACTTCGTTTACCCACAAAAAATCTTGATAGTTTGTCGTAAATATATAATTTAAATGTTGAACGGATAAACGATGATGATTAAATCTGATCAGTTATTAATTGTATCTTAATTTATAACTAGAACAAATTTGTTTTTTTTTAATTTTCATAACACTTTATTTTCGATTATATTAAGACAAGAAAAAATGTTCAAGTATATATTTTTAATCAACTCGTAAAATTTATTATTTTCGATAAACTATTTTGCATCTAAATAATAGATTTTTATTCTCATACTATTAGAGTACCTATAGGTATATTCTAAAAAAGAAAAATTGTTTTAAAATTTAATTCTCTTTAATTTTGAAACAATTACAATAGTTATGTCAAGTATTGAAATTGTAGTAATAGTTTAAATAAATTATTACATTTGTATGAATTTCGGTTCATCACTAGTCGGTTGAGAAGTCAAAATAGTGAGAGCGGTGAAACGTTTCGGGTTTACTCACTAACGTCAATATAAAATTCGGTTGGTAACACGGGAGGGGGAGCCTTATCATAAGTCAGAACGGCTTGCCGTTCCAAAAATGTTATCTCTCCTCCCAAGGGAGATTCTTACTTCGATTACAGCGTGGTGGTTGCCGGGACAAACACTAGATAGTAACAAAAGCACACCATCCAGTGGAGATCACAGTATCTAACACGGTTCTTGTGTTCATGCTCTAGACAGGTACGAACATAGATATTAGGGCACAGGGAAAACTTAGATTTGTACAAACATGCCTGTTGAATATCGTCTCACATCAATAGAAGGTGCGCAACAGTGAGGTCTCGGTTAAAACCTGGCACTCGATTTATATTAATTAATTTCATATCAATAGGTATAATTATATTATTGGTGGATTTAGTAGAGTTGAAAATATTTTGTCGAAGAAATCAAAAATAATATTCTACTTCGGGGTAATTTTCAGATGAATAATACGAGTATTACAATAAAAAAAGCAATTGGTTTAGTCAGTGCTTCTGGGGGCCTTGGTTATATAATTGATGGGCCGTGAAATATTTATTTAATTTAAAGCTCTTGAAACAGAATTTAATGAAAAAAAAACTTACTAAATTTTGGTTAAAACGACAACAAGAGTATCCTGTAATTTCGAAAGTAGCTTTACTTATATTAATACCTTTCGCTTCAACATATCTTTGTGAAACTGTATTTTCACAACTTCAAATTATAAAAAAACAAACATAGATCATGCATTTCACAACAGCTTTAGAAACAAACTTTGTATTTTATTTTCAAATATCACACCTGACATAAGTATGCTATGCGAAAATATGGAAGCCCAACCGTCACATTCATAATTATAATATTTATTTTTATTTTCATTATTATTATTATTATTAACCTAGCATTTGTTTGAAACCAAATCAACATTATTATAGAATATTTTTGTATTGCTCTATAGTTATTACCAATTCTTTTTTTTTTTATAAATGTGTAAATACTATACAATTATAAGATTACATTTCAAAAATATATTAAAAACATTTATTTTCTTTATATTTTAATAATTTAACTTTGTGAAATAGTGTATGTTAATTTAGTATATCATTAACAATAAATAATTAATGACTTTGATTGAGGGGACCTTGACAGTTTTACATTAAATTTAAGGGGCCCTATAACAAAAAAGGTTGAAAAGCACTGAGTTAAGCAATAATAAGAGACGAATAAAATACTCTCGTATCTCGTATTTAGCATTCAACACATAAATGTGGTGAAAATGCCTATACAACGCGCCGTTTTTGGATTTCTTATGTTTGGTATGCATTTATTCTTTAAGTACTATTCTATTATACATTATTACTTTACAACATAATAACGAACATTCATCATGCATTTTATGACTATATCATTCAAATTAAGTGGCGTCTATTGTGTAATATATTTATTTATTTTAAAATAAAGAATGGATATTAATTTGTTTTTTAAATAACTCTGTAGAAATATTACATACTTTTTAAATTTGTATTTAAAATAATGATAAATATTAGAATATCTATCATGGAATTTCACGGGAGGATTTATTTAGGAAAATATTAAAATATTTTCTGTGTACATTGTATGATATATAATTGGTGATTGTTAGATGATGTGCAATTCTGTGAGATAATGTTTATGAAAATAATATTTACTAATTTTCATTCAACCATATTTACCAAAGTTTTGAATATTATACAAAAATTTAACGAATTAAAAAGTAACAGTACAAATTAAAAAATTATACGGAATATGTAATCGTATTTCTAAAATTAATTTACGGAAGGAAACTTTACTTTGTAGCTAATTATGTATTAGAAATTTATGCTATAAAGTTACATGATTAATACACAAACTATATTCATATTTAACAATTAGTATAACTGATTTTATTGGTTCAGAAGTATTATTAATTAGAATCAGAGCAATTATATTTATCAATGTAAGATATAAGTATTATATTTTACAATAAATTTGATTTTTTAATTGGTGCTTAATATAAACTTGATCACATAAATAATTAATTTTATCAATGGAAAATCATATAAAAATTATTATTACGAAAAAACAATACATTTTTTTCATCACCATACAATTGTTTGGTGTTCGAATATTGAAAATCATATAAAAATAAATTACTTGTTTATGAATAATAGTTATGTGACAATTGTATATTAATATACGAGTCTCATTGTTTTTCAATATTTTTTAAATCTACTTGTCAAAAAATAAAATAAATATTTATATATGTATTTCATATCTATACTGTATAATCATGATACACCAACACAAACATTAATTATAAATTTACTAAAATATTCAACACTAAAATTAAATGTTCTAACATATAATCAAGTTATTTTCAAACAAATAATAATTATAATAAATAGTAGAAGTAATAGAATAGTAAAATACTTGGTTATACATTATTTTACTAATGTTATAAAAATATAATATCAAATTTCAAGATTTTTAGTAGTATAAAAATTATTTTATTTACAACTTAAGACAACCTCTTAATCAAACTCGTTTATATAGCCATAAATAATACATGGTAAAACTAAAATACAGTACTTGCTTTTCTTAGGAACGAATAGTAAATTATTACTTTGCTAGTATTTCCAATAATCCAATTTATAAGTGTTTTATAAGTTGTTAATTATATTTAAGTGTCAAATGTTCATAGAATTTTCTATGGCCAGAAGTCAGAAAATCCTCCATCTAGATTTTAATTGATTATATTTGAATACACATGTAGTTCAGAATTTTTATGTCATAACGTATTTTTTAAATACATTTTTAATCTACTTGTATTTTATATGGTAAAGTTTTATAGTTAAAAACATTCAAACCATTTGGCTTATATAATGATTCTTGTGAGTTTCTTAAAATGTTTATATATTTTTTTCATTACATATTCATACATATATAGTATATGTAGTAATACGTAATACCCTTATTGGTATTTGAAGTTTTGCTGTATTTAGTATATTTATATTATTATTTATTACATTTAAATAAGTATACATAGCTATTGATATATATATTTAAAAAAATAAAAAATATACACTAAGTTAAAATTTAATAACACGAAAATGTATGGTAAACCTAGTATATTTTATACAGTTTGCTATTACAATTAGAAATGTAAACATTTGATTTGGTGCATCATTTATTGTTTTGTATGACCTGGTTCGTTTGTATTTCCATTACTTTTGAGCAGAACCCAACTTATGAAATATGGGTCCGGGGCAATATAATCTTAGGGGCTTTTAATATTTGTTTAATGTAATTTAAAAATTACAGTCAACATTAAAATAACATTATTGCATTAGTGAACAAAAGTTTTATTTACAGACCAAAAATTAATTGTTAAAACTCGTATTATATTTAAAAATAATTATTAAGTACCGGTAAAAATGAAAATTATTAGCTATTTATTAATGTTTACTAAATTACATAAATAAAAATTTAAGTCAATGGTTTCTTTCGAGATTTTAGTTTACTAAACTTCTGAATTAGATCTGAAAAATCTAATGTGTCAGTTATTTCCCTTTCAGCAGCTAGACGAACGAGTGAGTTTAATTTTTCTTGGTGAAGAGACGTTCTTCTGGCGTTTTCAATAAGTTCTAATTTTGAATTTATTTTTTCTGCTTCACGATTCGAAATTGGCAAAGTTAAATAAATTCGTAGAGAAATTCACACATTTGGAAAGACTTTTTTTAAATTATTTTCATGTACATAGAAGTAAATATTTTAAGGAGTAATTATTGGTAAATTTAACTGCATTACATAATTTTAAAAGTGCATAATTTCTTGTTTTATATTAGTTATATCAATATCATCTTTAAATGTGCTAATGAATATGTCGGCAGAAGTCTCTGAAAATAATTCCGAACCAAATTTTGTAATAAACTCAAAAATATTAGAAACATTATCATATGCGTTTAATCTTTTATCAAGTTCAGTAACTAAACGATCAATAATAGCGTAAAAAGTATCAATCTCTAACTTTCTTATACCATAAAAATTTGAATTTCCTTCTATTGTACCATCCGAGAATTTTTTTTTTCTTACACTTTTTTTCCAACACAGGGTAGAAAGTTTGTTGATAATACCCTTGCTTTGTTTTCAAAATATATAAACTTCTCTCTTAATGAACTAACATAAGTTTTTAATTCTTTCAATAAATTTACGGCTGTAAATAAATCTA